TAAAATGCCACTCCAATTCAAGCTCTATTATCTCGGTTAATTTAAAAGATAGCAATAAATTTTCAACTACCAAACTATTTCTGATTTTATGATGAACATTTTATCAATTCATAGATTTTTGGACAGAGAAAAATTGGGTCAAATGTAATCTAACACAAAATTATGGCTTATGTAATTACAAAAAGGGTTTTGTTCAGAAAAATAATTAGGTTTTATTTAATGTTTCAAAAGGTTCATATTATTTCTCTCCTCTTCATGAATTCTGGTGAATACCTAACACAGTAAACTTGTCTCAAAAGTGGGNGTAGGTNCACGTGCCACAAAAAATGTATACAATTTTCGGCCAAATCGAAAAATTCTGCAATACTTTTATATGACGTGACTTCAAAGCTGACTAATTTCCACCCAAAAATTACTTATTTTTCCGGTACTGTACGTAAATTTTCATCGATTTTGAGCAGCAAATCTTAATCAGAAGGCATTACTCTCACTTTTGCTGTCATAATTTCTGGTAAATAAAATTTATGTTTCAATCACAAGTTAGAAAAACAAAATTCGTTTAAGAGAATAGTCTCTCAGGATCCATTTTTAGCTAAAATATTCATGGAAATAAACCGTTTGAAAATGTGATTTTTTGTTTCAATCTCATTACGTAGGCAAAACCAAAATGGCATCATTTTATCCCTCAAAAATGAATCTTTTCACACTTTGATCTTCTATTTCGTTTCGTCATGTTCCACTTATTAGTTCAAACGATTCAAAGAAACAAAAACATTCAAAAAATTCTGAACAAAATCGAAAAAAAAGTTTTGGATCGTTGCATTTCGTCCTAAACTGTACATATACATTTTGGTACTTCCCTCCTCTTTTTTCTCAAATTCATGTTTGACCGATCAACTGATTGGTCATTCCGATTTCCGTTGAACGAAATGTATCATGCTGAGATGTGAGAAACATTGTTTCAGATGAAGAGACGCAGAGAAAAGAGGATGAATTGTTACTTTTGTAAGGTGTGAAGATGTGGGGAGGTAAAATAAGAGTTTCATGCAGAGTTGAAATGGTTACTTTGATTTTTACTGCGTTGTTAGACGTTTCTATCAATTCATATATGATAGTAAACTACCGTAAAACCTCTAATAGAACGACACCTGGATCGTCCACTTTGAGCCTATATATCTCATTTTCTGTGAAAGATATCAAAAAGTGGCTAACTAGTAAAATATTGCTGATATTCTGATAAACATTTCACTAGTTAACCACTTTTTGATACCTTTCAAAAGAAGTGAGATATATAGGCTCAAAGTGGACGATCCGGGTGTCGTTCTATTAGAGGTTTAACGGTATACCATATCCTAGAAACCGCAAGTTTTACTAAACTGAAACTAGCTCAGTGAAGTAAACATGTGAAACAATTTGGGGAACCTTAAAAAACGACGCTCCTGTTTCAGAGTCCTATTGTGTGAGTAAATTCAATTTTAAAAATGTTGAGAATGTTCCGCATACATTAGTGCTAGTAATAGTTGGTTTTTAAACAAATGAAATACAATTTTTCGAACGAAATACAATTTCCCATTTTCATGTTATGAAAAATTCCGTACGAAAATCAGTAAATGTATTCGGTTCTAAAAAATTTCATAGTGCTCGTGAAGCTGTCGGAAAGACATATCGAAGATTTTTGGGAATATCAAGAAGTAGGCTGTCAGAAGGACTTCGGGAGTTTTTATCGGTGCAAGAGTATGCATTCTGTCAAAAATCGAAACTTTCGATTTCCAAAAGTTACCGTCATAGTAACCCAACATTTTCAAAGCAGTTTTTCTAGTTTTTCAAAAGTGAGCGAACAGAGTGACAAGCAGAGAAAGAGACGCAACTTTATTTATTTATTATAAGAATTATAGTTCCAAAACTATCCCGTTTCATCAACGGAGTTAGTGCAGCTTCATTATTATGCCGCAATAAAAAACGGCATTCGTATTCATAATTTTTTCCAGTTAAAAAATATTTTAATAGTTTCCTCATTCCATTTGACCATTATTTCGGTCAACAATTTCACAACTTCCGAACTAAAACCCTCTTTTTCAAACTACAAAATATGTTGAATATTCTTATCATAATTTTCTGACTGTTTCAATGTTTCTGATTTGATAGATCAATGTTGTCTCGCAATGGCATATCAGTGGGAGGAAGAAGAACGGAAACGAGAGATTATGATAAAATGATAAAACTCCGTTTTCGTTCAGAAGGCAGAGAGAGTACATATTGGAAGGATCAGAATATCATCACCAAAATTTAATTTAAAAAGATACTATAATTTTTTTCGAATATTTGGAGGAATGGAGAATAAGTGTCAACGTAAAAAACGAAAGAAGTTTGTGAATGTAAAGATTCTGAATCAGGAAAACTTTTTTGGAAATGTAGTTATGCTGCTTTAAAGGTACATTCAACTCCACAAGGGACTTCTATTAGCAGAACTTCGAACCAACTTCCTTTTTCAAAAATTACAGATTCAGTGTTTTCTTAAATCTGACACATTTTTGTAGTAAAGTAGTTTTGTGGTAAAAATCAGAGCATCCGAATCAAACCATTGAGAAACAATTATTTCCCATTTTCTTCCATAACTTCAAAATCGAGGAAATTTTGGAGCCGGATTGTAAAATTTATACAAGACGTCGTAGTGAACCTCGGTTGATGTTTGTGGGCACTATTCGTACTAGTGTGTGTTCTTGTGGTATCTGAAACCAAGACTTCAAGAATACAGTGAACTAGAAGTGCATTTTCTCTGTAAAGAAATCACAATTTTTGAACTGAATATTTATTTTTCTCTGCGCAAGGAAATATATTTTCAATTTCACACGATAAGTCATGAATCAATTAAAACTATATAGACGAGAAGATACAAAAGTGCTGAAACAGTAAAAAATGTAAAAAAAGTGTACATTTATTGTTAATCCCATTTCCTGTATTTGAATCCCATTTCCTTTGGGATTCAAATTTTATTGTTAATCCCATTTTCTGTATACCAGCCAAAAGTTTTTCGGAAATGATTTATGTTTTAGTTGAAAACTTTGAACTTTGAATGTCTGGTAGATTTTGTTGTATTACTAAAAATGTTCAAGGCTAATCATGAAAAATAGAGCTTTAATTTTGTAATTACACATACTTGTACAAATTCAGCCAAGTCAGATATACCGCTTTAAACCAAAAAAGCGCCAAAACTTCCAGAAATAACAAGTCGAGGACACTTTCAAGCGGTTTATCTAATTTAAATGATTTCGTACAGAAAAGTTGTCAATTGTAAAATTGAAGCTCTCATTTTGTTTTGCATACACTGAAACTTAAATGCACATCCAACAGAGTCTGAAATATTTTGAAGACATTCCAAATAGCCTATTTTCAACTGAAATGCTGTCAAATTAACGAATTTTTGGCCGATCCTCTAGGTATGCTCGTCCTCAATACAAAATACGGTTTTATGTCGTCTAATCAGTGAACGGAGTACTGTAGATTGATATAAACCGAAATCACTATCTAATCACTCCGATTTCAATTTTCTTGAATCAAATGATCTATCACAAACGATCACATCTTTCGCACTCAACGAAAATCAGAATGGTTCCAGTCTTCAGAAGGATTACGGTATCTGAAAAAAGAGTGGCATCGGGAGGCAAGGGGGCGGAGTTGATCCACGAATGGCGGCTTCTTTTCGGGATGAAACAAAAGAGATAAGAGAAGACGAAAAGGGAGGAGGAATCAAAACATAAGGGCAATAAAAATAATGCGAAACAATCACTTCGGAAAAGCCTTTTATTCGCTTATTTATTAGAGAAAATGAGGCGACGATACTTTTGGATAACGTGCACTTTTGTGATATTCTGTTATGGTAAGTGAAGAAGGATTTTGGGTTTAGGTAGACGAATAAGGTACAGTATCTTCTGTCAGCACTGAATAAGCTTTAATTTTTTTTTTTCTTGAAATACTTTTACAAAATGTTTATAAAACTTTTTGATACACTGCTTTTTTAGTTCTGAATATTATCCTTCGAATTCATCAAAACATTGATAAATTCTTGTTTTGAGCTGGTTCAAGAACCAAACATTTCTTTCAGTTCATCGATCTATATTCTAGATGTCTATTTCAGTACCTTCCTAGAAACATTTAAAACTTAAAAAATTACCCGTTTCAGTTTTTTCTTAATCTCGCTCCCGTTCTACTTTGAATGTTAGAAACTTATTGTCAATTCAAAAAGATCGCACCGGTGAACACACAAACAAACAAGTAAACAAGGGGGCGGAGCGATCCGCCCCTTTTCGCAAAGGCGCCACGCAGTTTTTCGACGGTATTTTAATGTCGCCGTTTTTTTTTGGTTATTTTTCACCGAATTTCTTCCGAATTGAAAGAAATTCGTTGATTTTTTTTATGTCATCTATTATCTAATTTGAAAAATCGCCTTCTGGTATCACAACT